CCAGAGACAGTTTTCCATGACCTGCAAGGTCTGCGAGAACTCAACCTTGCGGGTAACAGACTTGCTTACTTGCAACCGGCACTATTCCAAAATCTTGGTGAGCTTAAAGAGCTGGATCTGACAGGAAACTACATCAAGGTTATCAAAGCTAATGTGTTTGTTAAACTCCACAAGCTGCAAAAACTTTACCTGGCCCAGAATCAGATTGGAAGTGTGGTACCCAGGGCGTTTGTAGGCATGAAATCGCTCAGATGGCTTGACATGAGAAACAACAAATTGACTTCTCTACATGAAGACACATTCTTAGGCTTGAGCAGTCTTCATGTATTGCGCCTTTCCAACAACTCAATCACTGGCTTAAGGCCTAGAACCTTCCGTGACTTGCAGTACTTGGAAGAACTAAGGCTCAGTTACAACAGGATTCGAGCTCTAGGGGAGAGGATTTTTGAAGGACTTGGCCATCTGGAGGTTCTAGAGTTAGATTACAATCAGGTGCAAGAGGCACATGTGGGAAGTTTCACTGGCCTGTCTCACGTGGCTGTCATCAATCTGTCTGGAAGCTGCTTTCAAAGTCTCCCTGACCAAATGTTCAAAACTCTGTCAAAGCTTCACAGCCTACATTTGGACAAAGGTTGCCTTACGAGGATCACAGCTCTAGCTTTTAGTGGTCTCTCTGGCTTACGGAGGCTTTTCCTTCAACAGAACAACATCTCTGTGGTGGAAGATCAAAGCTTTATGGGTCTGGTAGGACTTGTAGGACTGGATTTAAGCTCCAATAAGATGGAGGTGCTCACAGATCAAACCTTCTCTGGGCTTAGTAATCTGGAGTATCTTCTTATGTCCAACAATGAATGTCATCAGTTTTTGCAGAATGGAACAAAACAAGTACTTCCAAGGCTGCGCTACCTGGACCTGCGAGCCAATGCCTTGACAAGCTTAGTCACCAATTTCTCAGAAAACATGGAGAAACTCCTGCTGTCTGGAAACCAGTGGAAATGTGACTGCACCACACTTCCACTCAGAACCTACAGCTTGCAAAAACCACAAGTCATCCCTCGACAAGTAGAGACCCATGCAGAAGGTGAAGAACCTGATAGCACGATCACCATATATAACAACATTACATGTACAAGCCCACCACATGCAGCTGGCCAGGACCTACGGGATGTGAGCAGTGAACACTTCCAAAGCTGCTGAGGTCACAGAGACTTGTTGATTGATACAAAAAGCTGACTATGTGTTTCTGGTTCAGATTACATTTTCTCTGTATATTCAATACAACATCAGATCTTAGAAATATCTTTATTTTGAAAAAAAAAAAAGAAAAAAAAAAAAGGATATTCTCACAAAACACTTTTAAACCATCAATAAATTCTGTGTTAGTTCAGTAAAGATTGTAAGTTTTATTACTTGTGTGGAGATAAATTTGCTGAAGATATTTAATAAAATATTTGAATATGTGACCTATTGTGCTCTTGTTAACTTTTATATTTGAAAAACAGAAAGAGAGCAAAAAGAAAAGCGATATACACTTTAATGACGGAAAGTTTCCATCTGTAAATTTTCAGATAGAAAATTTTACCTAATCCAGAAGACATCATCTTACAGAAATCCGGCTCATACATTCTCCTATTTGTAAATCCCCTGATTTAAAATAATTTAATCAAACCATGCTTTTTATGTGATGAAGATGAACTCTGACACCCTTTTGGCCAAAACATAGATTCAGTGAAGGCCAACTGAAAGTAGAGAGACAAAGACTCTACTTGTGACGATGGTCATTTTTATGCATGTTGACAAATACCATTAAATCTATAAGGAGATATTATATATATATATATATATATATATATATATATATATATATATATATCAATCAGAAAATTTGAATAATTATGTCTTCTGACACGTTGCTCTTCAAATTATGATTTACTCTTACGTTATGTTCAGAAGAAAGGCTGTACAGTGGTGCAGTTGGTAGCACTGTTTTCTTGCAGCAAGAATATCTTGGGTTCAAATCTGTTTTTTGTTGTTTTGTTTTTTTTTGTGTAGTTTGCATATTCTTCTTCTGCATGTGTGGTTTATCTATATGTTCATCTCACGGTCCGAAAACTTGACTGTTGGGTTAATCGGTCTCTTTAAATTGAAATATAAGTGATGAAACTAAATTAGATACCTCATTTGTGAACTACAATACAAAAATAACTAATTTGTGGAAAATAGGAAATAAATTACAATAGAATAAGAAATTATAGGCAGGCAATCATTTTTTGGGTAATATATTTTAGAATGATTACAATTAAATAGCTTACACATTTGATCCATGTTTTAGAGACCTGGTCATAATCTATGCTCGAGCAGGTAGATATATATTAGGAAACTACAATATTACAATATTGTCATTCAATATTGTGATTAAGATATTGAGTATGTGTAACCTATATTTTGTCTCTACTCTCTTTTTCATCATCACAATGTTTCCATCACTATGAATGCATCACATCTGAAACCCAATAGTCTACTAAATATTGCATCCAAGTAGTTCTTTATAGCTCTAGTGCTGCGTGTATTGATATAGCAACGACAACTGCAATTTGATATATTATGAAGCTCCATTAATTTGCATTTTGTAAGTTTGAGCTTAGTTAGCTTATTTTTTGTATTAAATGCTGGCAACAACCAACGTGGAAATTATGCAAAGACTGTTTCTCTTAAACTGGCTTTATCAGAGCCACTAAGAAACTTAAAGTGCCATACCATGTAAGTGATATCCTACCTGTGTTGTTTTTTTTTACTGAGAATGTGTAATAAAGAAATTTCATTTCTTGAAGACAAAAGATTTTGTTGAAAAAATAAGAAGGTACAGTTGCAGATGGGTCACCAGGAGTGCTGATGTTTTTGTATCGACTTACAGTGTTCTGCTCTTGTGATGAAAAAGAAAAATCCATAATTCCTTCATCAGAGTTACCTGGAAACACATTTCTGAGAAAAAAAAAAAAACACCACTTGCACAATCTTAAAGAGCATTCTGGGACCCAAAAATGGGTCAGGTAAATCTTTTGTGCACTGGATACATTTTCACCTCTTAATTTTGTTTTGGTTCAGTTTTTATGACTGACTTAATGTTTCCTAACGGAGGGAAACAGGAATACATATCCTGGCACATGTACTCATCATACAGAAGGAGAGAAAAAGAAGGACAAGCACCATCACTCTGTTGAGTTTACATGTAACCATGACTCATGCAAATTTGTGGGTGGAAAAACAGTCCTCTGCTCTGCAGTCCAGAAAGTCTCAAATAACTTCTCGGTATGGTTCTTATCAAAGAATCAACAAACCAAATGCAAGTATTTGATCATTATTCATTGAGCTTATCATAAACAAATCTATGATGCAGATTCTGTTGGTGACCAGCAGGGACCAGACACAAAATTCACGTAAACCAGAATGTGCCCAAGAAATCACTAAGCTGCTAAAAACTCTTCAACTGACCAAGTCTGTTGATCTTAAGCAGCCAGCTTCTGAGAAGACTGATTTACTTTATGAGTTTGCATGCGCCAAAGTAAACAAGCACTAAGTTGTTGCTTCATCTTTTTATGTCACTTTGTTTATGTATTTTTCAGCAGGCTGGCTCAGAGTCATTTAACCCTGAAGTCAAGGTTGGCCAAAAAGAGTAAACTACCTTTGCTCATCAATGTTTTACAATAAATGTGAAGGAATAAATAAAAGGAATGGACAATTCTGTTAGGTTAAAATGAATCCCAATTTTATTTATGCTTATTTTTATATGTCAGCATTTTGTTTGTCTGTGTGGTTTAGGTTATTCAGAGTAGAACTAGTCTAAATCTTGGGCTTAGATCTGGAAACACATGAGGGTTTTGATGAAAAAGAGATCACACACTCAGGTGAGTATGGGCAGACTACAGTGGACTGTTCTGTTTGGAGTAATATGTCATTACCATTAATATTAAGAGGTAGCTCTGTTTTTATTCTAAAAAAGAATCTGAATCAAAAACTATGAATAGATTTTTAATATTTCTCACTTGGAGAGTGTTGTACGTAACAGCCGTCCTGGTGTGCAAGAGCTTTTTTTTTTTTTAACACCAACTCCTAACAAAATAGATTCTAGACTTTGGATTTAATGTTTATGGTTTTCAGCTGATTTAGTAACAGAAAGAGATTTTGGTAACACTTTATTTGAAGGGGGGTGAATAAGACTGACGTGACACCGTCATAAACATGACATAACACCTGTCATGAACATGAATAAGCCTTCATGAATACTTTGAAAATTAGGTAACTTTATGTTATTAAAGGTAAAGTTTAAACAGTAATGGTTTCCTGGTTAATGTCAAGCTGTCATAACAAAGACATTTTGAATAATGTCAACTTTGTATTAAAAGTGTTATAATTTTCCGAATGACGCTTTATGACAACAGTCATAAATATTCATGAAGGCTTATTCATGTTCATGACAGGTGTTATGTCATGTTTATGACAGTGTCATGACAGTCTTATTCACCCCCCTTCAAATACAGTGTTACCGAGATTTTTAGTTGCAGCGGTAAGATGCAATACAGCTGTTAATTTAAAAAAATATTTACCCTACACTTTTTTTGCAAAAGGATTCTTAAACCTTGAAATTCTTCATATTTTAAACACATTGCAACCACACACTTCCATAAATTTTATTTGTTTGCTTTTTTTTTTTTTGGTTATATAAGTAAGTAAGTCAGACTGGACTCATAGTGTCTGTGATTATCTTTTTTTTCCAGGTCCTTTCCAAAAACTAAAAAAAAAAAAAAATAGAAAAATCTCCAATCAAATTTTCATGTCCATTCCATTCTTAGACATCAAGATAGGTTCTTATAAACCATTTACCTGTAGCTTTGAGTGTATATTTACTGTACCAAAATATATACATCACATTGTTATACTTCTATCAACCTTCTGCAAGGCAGAATTCAAGAACCCAAATTCATCCTCTGCCCTCAACTGACCTGTCAAATCCACAGGGAGCTCTTCTTGTGGTTTTCAGGGAGACTTGAAGCAGAAAGAGTCACAGCCAGCATCTGAACAGGTCTGCTGTCAAAATAAAGAAAGAAAAATACACTTAATGTAAACATTTTTTCCCCTGCACAATTCTGTTCATACACAGTTTAATAACCAGATCATCTATTTGAGTTTTTTTTTTTTAGAAGTGGGATAAAAATTATGCATCTTCTTCCACATATCAAATTAATTGCATGTCAAATGTTTTAAAAACGTTTTTAGAGGTTATTAATGAATCGCCTGCATATGTGTGCAATGCTATATATGCAATTAACTACCAAAAAGCATGGTGATATTGTAGGATTGACATTATTACTGCTTATATTTTGATGGAACCCTGATTTTTTTTTCCTCAAAGCTGAGGTATATCAATTGTTTTCATTGTAGCAATTTCCAAAATTGCACTGATTTGATCTAATTATGAATAGTTAAGTTGTGATAATAAAAAGGCTTATGGGTGATGATTTATCACTAAAAAATATCATAAAAAACTAGACAATTGTAACTATCTGAACCCTCTGATCAACTGTGCGATTGATTCCAACTTATTATTATTACAAAGTCACCAATCGTTATACTGTGACTCATTTGTTTATCAAATTACTTTATAATCAGAAATTCTTTGTTTTCTCTTTTGAACTGCACTTTCAAATGACTGAACTAGAGGGAGCCTGTTTCATTGCAGATCTTTGCTGTGTGCAACAAACAAATGTACCAATATAAAACTGTAACTAAGACAGAGCTAGTTTCTTTCCTTAATAAGTTATTGATTTCACTGTTGTGTTCCTGACTAAGCTTCTTCGGGTGCTTTAAGGAAAAGTGATGCCAAGTGGCAAAACATTCACTTGACACCTGTTGCCACGGCAAATTGCTGTCTGTCTCCAAACATAGGGTTTTCAGTATTCTGAGGCTGCAGAGGATGCAGCTTCAGACCTCTGCAGCCTCTCTCCTGAGACTCACCTGTCAGCAAGGAAAATCATTTAGATTTTTCCGGATGTAAAAATCTGTACATCAGGATCTGAATGTACATTTTCCTGTACATTCAGAAAAATTGTATACCATATTTAAATAGTAATTTTGACACGTTTTATGTATTATTTTCCACCTTATGTATTATTTTAGATAACTGCATTCTAGAGCCCACCCACTCTTTTTCCACATCTCCCATCAAACTGTCTGGTGCTACTACTACATTACTGTGCCATCAGAACATGTGGACAGGCCACTATTCTTCTTCTGTGGTATTTTCACATTCATTCCATTCTGCTACAGAAATAGGAGATATTTTGATTTGACCATTTTACCAGCTTGGGGCAGAACGTTGATGTTTAACCATTTACCTAACGAAAGGGTAGATGAAAGTGTTGGGACATAGAGCTGCTGCTGTGAACTGAAAAGGCAGGCAAAGAAGGACGTAGGCAAAGTATATAAAAGAAGGATATGAAAAGGCACATCGCATAATTTAGTTCCCTGCCAGAAAATGAGCAAGTCTATATAAAATCCTGAAATGTGATCCCTGCACAAAAGTATGAAAAAAAACAGCTGTTAGTTTTTGAAGATAATGGATGAAAAAAAATAAGAAAAAAAATGATTAATTCACTAAGACCTTTGGTGCACCAAGGGAGGTTCTTGTTGCACCAAAGGTCTTATTAAACTAATCATTTAATTTACTAAATGATTGCTTTAATAAATTAAATAATTTAGAGCCTGGAATTACAATTTATCGGGCAGCCAATTTATCAGGGCCCATTTCCTGAATTTAGGGAGATAAATTCAGGAAATATGTTAGTGTCTTTTTGATACTGTCTTTTTAAAAATGGGTTATTGGCGATTGGCCATAAAATTGCAATCGGTGGATCCCTACTGGGAACTAGTCTGTCTACCTATTATTGAAAGGTCAGTTAATAAGGGTAATGCGTATTTTTCCCAACAAACTTTTAGCGTTAACCTATTTTCTTGCTTATAATTTTGTGATATATTTTTTAGAATATAAACAACATAGTGGACGTGGTCTGAAGTGGCTCTGCCTGAGTTGACTTGCCTCCAGGCCCAGAAGCTCAGTCCTAACGAGGTGAGGGAGCAGCTGTGCAACAGCAGTGTGGACCTTTGCGTTCTCATATTACCAGAGGTCGCTCTCGGAGAAGCCTTTCTCGTCTTCTTTGAGCATGAATGGCCTCACAAAGGTTGTCTTCCGTTTGTGAATAATGAACTTTAAGCATCTTCACGCGTGACGCAAATATGTGCCCTTCCTGTTACGTGGAGTCCTGGCTTTGCCTCCACGGACAAAATGTGACGAAAAAACTGATGTCCCGAGAAAACTCGCCCCAGTGGTCAACCTGTTGAGGTACAACCTATTCACAACTAACCTGTCATTTCTGCTTGAATAAAATCTTGCCTAAAGCACAGTCTAGGCTTTCTCCCCTTCACTTGTATTCTTTTCCGGTAGGATTTCTACCGGACCAATCAGCAAACAGAAGAAGGAATTGTCACAGATGACGTCGATTTTCTGCGCTGTTTTAGAACTGTAGTCTGCCTGTAGTTTTAGAAATCGCAACGCACGTAGCGAAGCCATGCTAGCAATATTAAATTAACATTAACAGCCGCCTCATTCGGATCAACACTTTGTCGTGGACAGTGGTTGTTTACAATGCAGGCAATTTCCAGTAAGCTTCATAGCTTCAAACTGGCGCATATGGGCAACATTAAACATCTCAACAGAGTCCATTAGGAAGCAGTCGTTTCTCAGCTAGTTAGCCATCAAGGACATATTAGCAATTTGTTACTGGTACCTTCAACCACCTGGAGTCACAGAACGTAGTGATGAAGTGTTCCCAGCCGACTCAAGCTTCAGCCTGACAGAAAAGTCCCACAAGAACAAAATAAGAGAGATTAAATAGTTTTGCCATGAAATATATGTAAGACCTGTGATTAATGTAATTAAGGCCAACTTGAATTTAAAAAAGAAATAATTTAAAACAGAATTTTAAGGTCTTAATTTTACATGAATTTAAGGATACATGGACAGTCTGTATTAGATAGTTTTAGAACTAGGGATGTTGTTTATATTGTTGTGTTTTCAAAAAGTTTAATTGTTTTTATCTTATCAGCAAGGAATTAATGATGTAAAACCAGTTTCCCCAAAAGTGATCTGCTGTTCTGAGTTTAGCTCCGTGAAACAGACCATTGTTAGTGACAAGACTTGGATGATGCACAGTTTTGAAAGCTTGGTTGTACTTTTGACTAAATAAATTAGCTCTGTTGTTGTTTTTTCAGATACTGACTTTGTCCTCAGACCCTCTGGGCTGCATGGAACACAAACAAAGCAGCATACTGAATCTGCCCCAGAACAGTCCTTCAGCTGTGTCAATATTCGGATCAAATGGAGGTGTGGCCACTCTTTTGCTTTTAATCAAACTTGTATAAGATTAAAACATCATTTTTGTTTTATATCTCTGATGGATTCGTGCTGTAAAAAAAGAATCAAATCCTTATTCTTCAGTAATGACCTTTCAACTCCACTTAAACCAAAGCGTCTAACACTGCAGGCATCTTTAGGTTAAATATTTATAGGCTTTTGGCAGGGACTCTCCTGGAAGTGGTGTTGAAATACGATTCCGTTCCAGGTGACCTTATAAACTGTACACAAACGTTCCACTTGCTTGTTTTGTTAGAATCAGGGTCCATGATATCTGCAGCCGTCTGGTACACAACCTGCCTGCTGATGCCCTCAAATGCTCCACCACACTGCCAGAGCCTTCCCGGCTGGAGACGGCAGAGCAGCTGCTGAGGGCAGGCTGCCACCTTGTGGAAGGCAGATCAAGCAACCTGGACAATGCAGAGTTAACTGGTTAGAGGAGTACTCTTGGTATCATCAAGCAGGAGAGAAAAGGAAATGAAAGTGTCTTTAAAATTGCAGACTGCCAAGTTTTATCCCACAATTAGATTTCTAACGGCCACTCATCTTGTGATGGCTTATTTTTTGTCTAAAATTTTTTCAAGAGGAAACGATTGTCCCTGGCTTTAGCTCGTTCCGTAAACGATATGGATTAAAAAAAACTATAATCTTATGCGCATATGTATACAATAAAAAAAACAAAAAAAAAACATTATACACACCGTCTTACCTAAAAACCAAAGAAGGTGTAATTAAAAATTCAGCTTGAAGCTGAGTTATCAAATTAATCTTTATAGGTTTGTTAACTACTGACAAAATCAGTTTTCAAATGTAGTGTAAGAAAGTTATTGTTTTTTATATGTATACACATTTTCTTAAGGCTAATCAACATAATGCCATGTTATCCATTTGACGTCTTGTCTGACGAGAGCATCGATACTGCAGTGACATAAAAGTTCCTTACATACCGTAATTTCCGGGCTATAATCCGTCACTTGCTTCAGTGCGATGTGTGCTCAATAGTCTGAAAATTACTTTAATAATTTCGCGGCACCTCCTTTATGGCTATGTGTACTCTAAAAACGACAAATCCACATAAATATTTCTTTAGAAATAAATCTAAATATAATTCAAGCCACTGTTTGCCAATAAGTATTTGTCCTCAACTAACATTTCAGATTCAGTGATATTTTCTGAAACTTCTCTGGACAAAAGTATTCACACAATTCGGATGAAAAATTATTTTAATTCTCAAGATGATAAAAATAATTTGTGAACTCTGTAAACCATTGCATAACTGTAGTGTAACAATTTAACAAGTGTTAACAAACTAGTAATACACTACAGTAAATGTGATACACAATCTTCAATGTAGAAAAAAAAAAAACATCTAATATTCTAAAGACTTGGACCTGCTTTTGTGTTCACAACACAAAAAATATCAATATACAAACAGTATAATTTCTACAATTATGAGAATAGATTTTCCTACATACCCATACAGCTTGTCACAAAGACGGGACATATTATAATCTATAAATAATGACTAAACCCACTGACATGAGATGTGGTTTTCTTAAATTTAACACAGTCTTCATTAAATTTCCCATGTTACCCTGAAAAAAAAGTAGATTTCTTTAAATGATTTTAATCTGACAAATAGAAACTTGAAAACTTGCATTTTTAAGGTTCTAATATATTTTATTGAATAGCAGTTCACAACTAAATGCTACATCATAATCAATTAACTGTGCTTCATAATACCTAGTCTATTAGTTGGATATCTAATTTAGAACAATACATTCATTAATTCTTGGCTTTGATATTAAAATAACATGTCATAAATTTCTAGAGTACATAAACCCAGCTGGTTCCACGTTTAGATTAATTTGACTTCCTACTAATAGTTTTGCTTAATTTGAACAGCTCCAAACATCAAACTCATATAAATGTACAAGATTGCATAAATCTGGCTCCATTTTCATAAAGGTTAAGAAGAAAAATAAAATAAAATTTTAAAAAAAGACACCACAAGTAACAACAATGCAACACAGATCAAACTATTCCAATGTAGAGCAGAGCATCATGATACATGTATTAATATTCATTTACAAGTCTTTCTATTTGGTGCTTCTCATTACAACAAAAATAAAGACATTTTGGTGTCAAATACCTCATTCAGAACAAATAATTCAGGAAAATTCAGTGGTTATCTATAGTTGGGGTTGTTGATCCTGTATGGCAAATACAGACAAAGATTGGCAGAGAAAATTACTTATTTTTTTTTATAACATCATCAAACTGCTGAGACAAGTCTCATTAACTAAGCAATTTTCCTTTCAGTTCACATGGCCTAAATGCTCAGGACCATAAGCAATCACATTGTGGTCCACAAAAATTATTGTAAGGCACTACAATTTTGATTCTGATTAGTGATGTATGTCCTCTTAAGTCAATTAACAATATGTAATTATTAAAGGCACAGATTTGTTTGAAATTAATTGGTCCATTAAGAGATAAAATAAGGAGGGAGGGACGCAGACTCGTAAGCTGCACAAACCAAATGAGTACCCATTTATGTATTTTTTTTTTTCTTTTTTAAGAAGCAGGCCAAGTGGATTTCTTGATAGACTTAAGACACCCACAGCAAATCAGTTAAACTTTTGTCTGTATCTGTCATCGATGCTTCACAATCATTGTCTGTCCTGGGAAAAAAAAAAAAAAAAAAAAAAAATTTGACCATCACTTCAACAAATAAACAAAAAATATATAGATTAACACAGAAAGCACCTTACAGTCATTGTAGGCCTGCTATAACAATCAAAGTGCAAGCCCACTAATTCAATAACTATTTAGATAAAGCAAAGTCAAACGAGATTTTTTTTTTAACACAGTACTGTAGTGAAGTTTATATGGCCACTTCAGAAGCACAAAGATCAATTTACCAAAACATTTTCTTCACTGCAGACAACAATTAAACTGACACTGAATTTGCACTTAAAGTCAGCCAGCAGAGAAAAATCTGGCATCAAACAAACATTTTGTGAGGATTGGACTCATGCAGTTTTGAACATGTGTGCATAAACTTGTAAGTAAATTTAGGTAGGAAACCAAAGGATTTCATCTATTAAGGTTCTAGGTGATGTACCTCTTTTATTCAACAAATTTAGACTTCTAGTAGAAGTTAAAACAATTAAGAGTAGTGGAGAGAGAGAGAGAAAAAAAGAAAATCAATGCAAGTCTTTGGTAAAACTGAAAAGTCCATTAGACGCCTAAGCAAAATGAGTTACTGACTCCAAGATAATTTACATCCTACTGAATAAACATTAAAGCAAAAATCCATCCAAAAACAGAATTTCAGCTGCTCTTAAATGTTGGTCCTTCTTACAAATATCCTTTGTGCTTTCAACTACCATAAAAAAAAACAAAAAAACAGCTTATCTGGCCAAGGCTAGAGCATTATTTCAATTCTGTTCAAGGGTTGATTTTTCCCTCTACAGTGCACGCTATTTGCACACCACTTTGGTTCATTTTGACATTTTCACACAAGACATCTTTAGCATCGTTGGCTCCACAGACAAAACAAAACAGACCAAAGGACTCTGTGAATTAGCTGCACTGTACACCCCTATGCAGTATACAGAAGATAACAAAGCCAACAAAAATATGATAGAATTTCATCAATTAATATAAAAAGAAAACACAATCTATAGTAGTACAAGTCAATGACATCATTTTAAGTGACTTACAAAAGTACTGAGAATGTTTTCTCGAATGGATTTACAAACGAAGTCAATCAAAAAAAAAAAATTAAGATGCATAAGAGATTTTTTTATAGGTAATAAAATCTGAGTGGAGGTACAACATTCAAACATCTAAATGTATAAGAAGAAACTACATTAATACCTTTTCCAATAGCAGCGAAGCTTGCAGAAGTAATTAAGCCTTACTTACTTTATTATAAGTGAATACAAATAACCTGGCAGTGTGACACAGTGCAGACATGTTTAGTACTTTCTTTTGTAAGTGGTAGCTAGATCGCATAACATGCAATACCAGAAGAGTTAAGCCTGCATTATATGCTGTAATATGGTCATAAAAATGCAATAAAGTTTATAATATTTTTCCTCTGAGTTGCTTAATTGTCATTTGTGAGAATGTAAACAATGCGTTATCCCATATTCATAAGTAGCAAAAAGTGTACTTCGAGATACATGATTTTCTACTGTTTTAAAGCAAGAATAAAAAGTTTTTCTTTTTACACAGTAGAAGGTCATTTCAGATAGAGAAACTCAAGCACAAGTCCTATGCAAAATCCGCCTCATGCTCAAAATTTTTCATTTACTGCAGAAATCTTTCAGGAAAAATAAGTAACTAAACTGCTAAAAAAAAAAAAAAGCATTTTGCAAGTTTCTCTACAAATTTCATACGTCCTAAACTTGCATACTCCCAAATGTAAAAATCGTAATACCTAATTCCAAATAGTTAAGCTGCACCAAAAGAGCACCACAACCAAGGAATGAGCTGCTGGCTGGTTAAGTTGGAGGAGAGTATGAAGGTTTTATTATTATTTTTTATATTTTTTTTAAGGGTGAAGTCAGGACACAGGCACTGACAGTTTAAGTTCGAAATGTTCTTTTTTTAATCTGCAGAAATACTTACTGGAATTTGGCCTGAAATATTGGAATATACTCATACACATGTAGTCATAAACATGTCAATACTGTTGCAAAGTTAAACACGCAGAAACCTGTGCACAAACTTCGACTACTTGTGTGTTTTTTTTTTTGTTTTTTTTTTGACAATTCTATACATAACCTTTAAAACTAAGGCAAGGCACTTTAGAGTCAGAGGCCGATATGTTCTAGACAAAGTCAAGAGGCTAGATTCCTACAAAAAGAAAAAGAAAGAAAAAAATCACCACTTTAGGCTTATACCAAATACATTACATGCTTCTCTAATGAATAGTTGTTTTTTTTAATTTCTACATAACAAAATGTACTGATTGAAAAACAGCCTTTAACATGTAGCATGTGCCTTACTGATATTACAGCTGCTGGTTATGCCTACAATGCAGTTTTAATTTGCACTTAATTGATTAAAATTTTATAAATCTAACTACAGTAGAAACTATTTAAGTACTTTTCTATGAAATTTTAATATGCAGAACCATGCTGTGATTTAACAATATGAAACAAGAAATATTCAAATGTTTCACAGTACACACAGAAGCTTCAGACATTAGCTTATGTAAAAAAACAAACAAACAAAAAAAACAACAAAAGTATAAATCTAAAACAAGACAATAGAATACCTACAAAACCGCTTAAGCAAATTACTACATACCCATTAGTAAAGTCCCAGGTTAACAAAGTGCTCTTAATAGGAAATCAAACTTCTTTAGAAACTTGGTCAAAATAATGATGTTTGACTGGTTGCATATAAAAAAATGGTTAAATAGTTATTGATTTTCAAATTGATTTTATTTGCACATGAACAATTTTAATCTGTTGCACTCCTTATTCAAACAGTACTAATAAATGTGTTTCTTTTACTAGTGCAGAATACTTTAATAATTTTTTTTAATTCGTTCAAATCAAATACATGTCACTGTTTGAGGATCATCTGTGTATTTATAACGAGTTAATTCAATTTCAGGGCTTAAACTTCAGATGTTCCGTGAAATTTTAAATACAGGACTAATTAAGCAAAATGTATTTTTTTTTTTTATTTACACGCATTTCTCTTAAAGACACATTTGCGTTTTGCCCATTTTATGTTAAAACCCCAAGTTACCATGTATGTTGAGGCTGCCATTTACTAGTTATTTGTTGAGCTAATTCTGATTATAACAATGCATCAAAGTAAATAAACACCGACATTAGCTTCATACTGGTTTCTAAAATATCCACTGAAAAACTACAGTTACAACCCCTTCAAATATATATCGAGGCAACTTCAAGTTCTTCCAGATTTCAGAATGCTGCCAGTAAACAGTAAAAACCAAATCCCATTAACACAAACCCACACAGATTTGAGCGAGAAGACCTCACCGTGTTTACTGGTTAAACTGGGTTAACCTCAGGTCAGGTTTGTGAATCACAATTGTACTTATGTTTTTTTTTTTAAAGAATCATCATAATTTGAACTTAGCCAAAATGTAAGCATGATGTCTGCATCTACAGAACAGATATTTTTACTTAAGTGTCTGAGTTGTGATAGTAGACATGAGTGATGGGCGGGGAACTAATGTAACATGTACATAACGTGAGCAAAAACAAATGAATTCCATATATGTAACCTTAGTTATAATACTATCAGTTTTGTCAGTCAAACATCATTTTATTTGAATATATTTTAACCACTACAAGAAATTTGTTGTTTAGAAAATGCATTATCTATTAGTACTTTTCCAAAGGGCTAAGTCTTTAAATAGTACCTTGAGTTACTGTACATCACCACTTTAATATTTTTGTTCTACAATAAGGGCATTCTGTTTTACTAGGCGCACAGGTCTCGCATAATACATAATGTTGGCAAGGTTGCAGAACAACGCAACGATCATGCTTTTGGCAAACTATACATTTCTTTGACTGAAGCTGAAATATTACCTGTTGGGGGAAGAAGAGAACTGGGATCAGCTGCAACCCAGGAAATTACAACTCATGTAGATTTGCAAAAGAAGCATGCTTGATGACAGACATTGACGTGTGGAACAGTTGGATGAGCCGTTTCAAAACTATGCAGTTGCTACAAATGAAATGTGTGAGATCTAGGCTTTCTTACCCCATCTATAAGGTCTAGGTCATTACGTAGCTGACTCTGGATAGAGTGAAGCTTTGACAAGGGGAGCTGCTCCAGCTCTCCATAGCTACGGAGAAGAGGTGTTCCGGGGGTGCGACAAAGCATATCAAAGTTCCCCTTGAGCTCCTTCAGCTTGCGCTCCGTTTCTTCCCATTTCTGCTCTGCCAGCTGCCGCTCCGCCTCAGCGGTCTTCGCTTGTTCCTTTGCTTCAAGAGCATCCTTCTGACAAGCTTCACAAGCCTGGAACAAAGGCAGGTGTTTTGTTAGAAAAAAAACAAAAAAAAACAATAAGAACCTTTTATTAATAAAAGATCATTTAACACACTTACTTGTTTGACTTGATGCCAGGCCTCCTCCCATTGCTTGATCTTCCTCTTGGCTTCGTCCAGCTCTCTAAAAAGACGTGCCACATCCGCACTGCTGGTAGTGGAGGTTAGGGTGCTAAAAACTGGGGACGGACTTGGTGAGAAGCTGCCACTTACAAAGTCCCAAATGTTGCTAGCTCCTCCATTTAAGCCTAAAAAAAAAAAAAAAAAAAAAAAAAAAAAAAACAGGGTTAAAAATTTTTTTTTAAAAAATTTTTAAAAAAATATGAATTTTTTCAAAACCCCATTGAG